GAGTTGATATGAGAGGGAAGAAGATGAAGGGCAAGAAAAAGATGCAGGAGAGGTCGAACAGATGAAAGATGAAAAGTTTTAAGAGGTTAAAGGTGGCTTATGTTTCAGGAACGTTGTCTTGGCAACAATGATTCCGAACAAATGTAAATGTGTCTGCTCTTTATACACACTCACACACGTCAGTCGTCAGCTCTCTCATTCAGCACTCAAGTGTTTCCGGAGGCTGAATCTGTATGACTCACACTGGATGCTGCATTGTGTGAAAACGAATGATTTTCAGTGACAGCCGTGATTACGATTCTCCTCCACTCCACTCATAACTCTGCTTGTCTGTTTTTCTCAGCTTTACACTTTCTCGCATTGAAAGGACTTATGTTGTTATTTAGTAATTTAGTGATTTGTCATAACTGATGTTTTAGTAACAGTTGAATCCTGTCTAGTGAGAAACACAACTGGCTGGTCAGACCAGCAGTTCAGATTTTTACTTTCTCTGCAACAAAAATGAATGTGTTTTATGGTAGAAACTTGTGTGTGTGTGTGTGTGTGTCATCAAAATATATTTATAACAGTTTACAACAACTAAAGTCTTATTAATATCACATTCGGAAATAACAATCATTTATTCTAGTCATTCTACAGTACCTGAATCTTTGAAGGTTAACACATTTTTTTTGACCATAACATAATTATTGGTTTGATTCATGAGTTGAAAGAGCAATTGTCTGAATCTCACTAATAAAAAGTCACGTACGTCAAGTCAATTCTATATTTACAATCACATGATGTTTTTTCCCCTCTTGAATACATTTTTGGAATATTCCTATCATTATGCCCCAAAAAATGAAAATATGAGATATAAAAATACAATGGGCAATATTTTTATTACAGTAGGAAATATTTGAAAGTTTATTGTCGTTGAAATCAATACTTTTATACTTGCCAAGGCTGCATTTATTTGATCAAAAATAAAGTGTGAAATAGTATTACTATTTATAAGACGATTTGATTTGCTAACAAATGTTTTCTATTTTATTTTATTTTTTACGTTACTTTATTCCTGTGATCTGAATTTTCAGCATCATTACTTCAGTCACATGATTTAAAATCTGATTTACTTCTCAAGAATCTTACTTTCTGACAGTCAATAATGAAAATAGTTGTGCTTGCTTAATATTTTTAACTGTAAAATGTTCTTCTGGATTCTATAATGATTAGAAAGTTTAAAACAACAGCATTTGAGATATAAATCTCATGTAACCTGTCACTTTGTTCAATTTAAACCCATACTGAATACAAGTATTAATTTCTTTCCGAAAAATCTTACTGACTCCAAACTTTTAGACGGTACTGTACATATAATTGATAAGTATTATAATTTATTTGATAATATCTGTGGTTATTATTCCAACATCTAAATGTAAGCTGTATTATAAGGCATTACGAATGCATAACATATACGTAACTGTCTACGTAACATACTGCTGCCATCTTATCCAGAGTGACTTATTTTTATTACAGGAACAGTCCCTCCAGAGGAATCAGGAGTAAGTGCTTTACTCACAAGCAGATTAGTGATGGGAACTCCGAGCACTTTCCTCTTCTTATATTTCCCATTATGGGATTTGAGCCTTTGGGTTTACCAACCCAGACACTTAACCACTAAAATGCCTGCCGACCCTCAAAAAGCCAGATCAAAATGATTAATTATTGAACTTGGGCAACCATAATTACATAAACATCATTTAGCAAACACATTTAACCACAATTAATCCACATATGACAAGCCCATATCATTAACGTATATGTCTTAAATGTACAGTGCACAATGATTCAAATAAGATTCAATTACTGCTTTTGTATGTGTTTGTCACATTATAATGTGTAGAATGTGGCATTTATCATAGACACTTAACACAAAATCCAAACTGCCAATCAGGCAACATTAAAAGTCAAATGGTACTTGGATTGTCATTAACATGATGGTCTCAGTCAATTAATTTCTTGAGTAAAAGCAGAATCTGTAATGCATAACACCTCCTAGGCAGATCTCACACTGGCATTGGCCCAGAAACGTAATAGAAAGTCATGTTAATCCAAGACGCTAATGCTAGTTCTTACAGATATTCCCTCAGGCTGGGGAGAATGGAGGGAAAATCAAAAGGCTAAGCATGAATTTTTCCCTTTGAGCTAAAGCGAGCAAGCATTAAACATTACTTAAGATTTCTGTTTCTCAGCTCTCTGCTTGCAGAGGCAGGACAGAAAGAGAGATGTGTGTGGGCATGTGAATATTTGTGCCTCCAACAGTGTGTGTGTGTGTGTGTGTGTTTCTAAGTAGGTCGGCACAGGACAAGTTTCTGTTCTCGGTAATGGCGTACGCTAATGGAGACGGGCAGATTGACTTTAGGGACAAAGATGTGGACTTACAAGGTCATTTCCCGTTAGTGTCTGCATGTGACTTTTGGATTAGTATTGCTCTATCTATGTGTACACAGACATAATTGATTTAAGAAACCAGTTTAGACTCAACAGCTGGTTCGGTTTTAATAGAGAACATACTGTATTTAGCAAACTAACAACTGTAACAAATGTTAGTGCATACAGTGATTGTCAGAATATTTGACTATTTATTTATTGGATGAGTTGGACCAGATGGTTGAGGGAAAGCACATACATGTAAAATAGTGTTTAATAGTATCCCATGATGCACCTCATGAAGAGCTCAAATTAAAAATGTGTTGCCGCAACTTACTAATACGCTAGCATATTTTACTAATTCTTTCCCTCATTTTAATTATTCGTTCCCTTGTTTTACTAAAGCATGCATGTTGTTCCCTTGTTTTAGTTAAAATGAAGGAACAGATGAGTTCAACGTGGCCACGATTTACTAAAACGAGGGAACAGATTAATAAGTCGTTGGAAAAAATTCTTAATTATTGGCCATGATTTAATCCTCTGGGGACCAAAAACACGCTTTGATCGTTTTTTTCCCCCCACATAGCTACAACAGAGACTTAAAATACTCCATCATTAATGGTCATATAAATAAAATTTAGACGCTCACGCGCTGTGCGTTCATTCACTCTCGCTCCTGTTCATGCCCATTCACATATTGCCTTGGCAAACAAAAAATATTTTTCACAATATAACCCAATTCATAGTTTTATGTGAACGATTAGGCCGGATGATTTTCAGATCATTGTGAAGAAAAAACTCTAGGCCACAACATCCATTAGTCAAAAGTAATGTGGACGCATATTTAGTATGTGTTTTGTGGCCTTATTTCAGAAACTTTAATTTTTAGTTTTTTCAATAATCACGCATAAGCAATATTCTCTCAAAAATACAAACATGTACATACATGTTGCTCACATATTATGGTAGCCCTGTTTGTGCTAAATATAGTGTAATTTCACCGGTGCCATTAATATGTTTATAAGTGAAAAAAGCACAGATGTCAGGGCATGTCAGAACATCTCAAGGACCCCAAATACACCTTGGACCCCAGAGGGTTAACTGAAACGAGTGAACAAATTTGTAAATAGTGGCCACATTTTTTTTTGTCTGCATGTGCGTGGCTCTGTATATTACACACACACACACACACACACATATATATATATATATTTCTAAAAGACTATTGGAGTATGTTTTAAAAGGAAATACACTCAATTTCTTAATTTTTTGTAAGATGGTATTTCCACGTTTTGTTTTCTTTTGCTTTGCATCTGATTTGTTTTTGTTTTGTTTTCAAATGTTTAACATTGAATGTTGAAAGTATTTCATTTTTTCAGCATTTTTGTTCTTCTCTTTTTTTATCCATATTTCCATATTCCATAAGTTATCCATATTTTCGGACGTACAACATCATGTTTATTTAAAGCATGTTAAAAGTTGTCTTCACGATTTCACTCAAAACATCTAAAAGATTTAGACCTTTAAAAACTCTCACAAAAGAATCTCACGAGAATTCATACGACTTTTACGAGGTGGCTAATTCGTAAAAATTCGTACGTCCTCACTCGTACGAATTAGTACGTTTTTGCTAAATCGTACATATTTTATGAATTGGCCAATTCGTATGAATTTGTACGAATGACCTAGCCCTGACCCCGCCCCTAAACCGTGGGTTTGGACAAATCGTACGAATTTGTACAAGTGAGGTCGTATGAATTAGTACGAATTAGCCACTTTTTAATCACTCGTACGAATTCGTATGAATTGGTCGTGAGATAGCGTAGTTAAAAACATTATGGATGTACAATAACCGTTACTGTCTAGAATGTAATGCACCATTAGTTATTAGTATATGCCAAATTTAGAATAATTTATTCAAATTTATCTCATGTGAATTGGATTAATACCTTACTTCAAGTAAACCACCAACATAAAAAAAGAATATCTGAAAAAGGTCTCATTTGAGGATTTAGCTCCAGATCAGAAATGTGTAATCTCTTATCTGTCTGTAATCCCTAATATCATATAAGCACCACGATGAAGGATGTGCATTAAATCTACATTGATAATCTGACTGCGAGCTGCGTCAGGTTTCTGTAGGTGACATTCAGTGTGAGTTTACTGAGAGGATCTGCAGCAGCCACAGAATCCGACGTATATTAATGATGGATGCCTTTAAAAGCTACCCTGGAAAGAGTTTGACATTGAATGAGAGAGAGTAACTTTTTTCCTGCCACACTGATAAATAATTTCCCTCTATCTTTCTCTCGCAATCTTTCTCCCTGTCCCATTTGAATCCCTCCCACTTTACTCTTTCCACCCTCCATCCATCATCTCTCCTATCTCTATCCGGAGAGAGAAATCTCAACAGAGGTTTCTCTATCTGCTTCTCCCTAGATAAACCATCTTTATTCTTATCTGTGTGTTTTTATTTGCTAACTGTCATTGTACACATAGGGGATAGTTATCATGTAATATGACTTTAGTGCAGTTTAATTTATCTTATTTATTTAATAACGACAAAACTGATTAAAGAGCTGCACAGACAAGTAAATTACAATAATAGCAAGACATAAACCAATATTACACAAAACAAGACAGTAACAAAATTACAGATAATGGTAAATTATATAAACAATCCCCTTTCTTAGGTTCCAGGTGTAATGATGTCTATCTGTGTTCCCCCTATCTTTGTGCACTTGGTTGGAACATCGAAGGAAGCAGGATCCAAATGCAGCAGTAGTAGTACTTTTATTAAATGAACCAAAGACTAGACATAACTCAGACACAGAGAACAAGATCAACATCTAACAACATCAAGAACCCACAACCACTGTAACACGACACATGGTTTAAATACAGAGACTAACAAGCTAAATGAGATAACAAGGGGCGTGGCATACATGAACACAAATGAGGAGCGGGAAAAAGGGAACAGGACTGAACCAAGTGCACAAAGATAGGGGGAACACAGATAGACATCATTACACCAGGTCTGGTAACCCTAACTCATAAGCCATTTTAAAGAGATACACCTTAAGCAAATGTTTAAAAAACACATTTAGAAGAGGAAGATTTTTGGTACAAAGGCAAGTCATTGCAGAACTGAGGTGCTGCCACCCCTTTAAGTTTTAAGCACATCTGTTCAGACAGCAACAGAGTATTAGATGTCCTTAAGTACCTATTGGGCTGAGGGTAAGAGAGATAAATAGTGTGGTGCCAAACCATTCAAGGACTTTGGAGCCAAAAACGGGTGTAATACTTTCCCTCTTTCTAGTGCCAATTAGAAGTCTGGCTGCAGCATTTTGGACCAACTGGAGATGGGATAGACAAGATTGAGAGACCCCTAAATATAATTCTGTAGTGTGACTCAGAGTTTGGCATGGTAATGGTTTTAAATGGTTTTAAGATTTTGATATATTTGGTCTTAACAGGATAGAGCTACCATGCTGCTGCTGTAGAGCAAGTACGGGACTTGCTACTCCCAATACATACACAACATACTGCTGTGAGCAAGTTAGAGATGCTACTCCTCTAAAATACAGCGTACATGAATTACCCTTGTCTATACAGTTGTAGCTGGGGAAGGTGGAGGGTGTCTGAAAGCATGCTGCACTGCTGAGGCAAATGCTCACCAAGTATTTGAAGGTCATTGACTACTGATACAGCAGGAACCAATCAACTGTTCCCTGTAGAGAATGATGTGATTGCAAGCAAGTTTGGTTGAGGACCTATTAGCCTGTGCCATCTAGAGTTTCATGACAGAACTTTGTATTGAGTTGCAATAGTCAAATCTCAATTAAATAAATGCTTGAATAATAGTTTCTAAGTCATTGTGGGAGGAAAGGTTTTATTTTGGCAATCTTAACGAAGCTGAAAAAGAAAATGCTGAATTTATCTGTTATCAAGTTTGAGTGTGGGGTCAAAAATTACCCAATAAAGATTAAGGATTTTGGAGTCGTTGAGTTGAAGAACATTTTCCACCAACCAGCTTGTAACATCTTAACACAAAAACAAAGTTTTTTTCTGATTGTTCTTTTCTCTTTCTTCTGTCTGTCTCATTCATACTGTCCTTTGCCCAAACGAAATTACAGTCTATCAGATGTATAATTGAAGACTTCAGATGCAAAAACCTTTAAGTCTGTCTGACATTTATCTTTTAAAAGAGCATTATGTTTTCAATTTTACTCTTATCAGTGGCATTTTTGAAAAGTAAGACATTTCAATAACTGACAAATAACCTTTTCATTGTCATGAAAGTGAAATCACTGAACCTAAACATAGGAGCCTGATAAAAATGCTTATTTAAAAGAAAAATGTCAGACAGACTTCAATTATTTATTCTCTCTGATAAGTGCCAGTAAGAAACTACTAAGCAGTGCCCTAACAACCATATACACTCACCTAAAGGATTATTAGGAACACCTGTTCAATTTCTTATTAATGCAATTATCTAATCAACCAATCACATGGCAGTTGCTTCAATGCATTTCAGGGTGTGGTCCTGGTCAAGACAATCTCCTGAACTCCAAACTGAATGTCAGAATGGGAAAGAAAGGTGATTTAGGCAATTTTTGAGCGTGGCATGGTTGTTGGTGCCGGACGGGCCGGTCTGAGTATTTCACAATCTGCTCAGAATTTTCACGAACATCCGTCTCTAGGGTTTACAAAAATGGTGTGAAAAGGGAAAAACATCCAGTATGCGGCAGTTCTGTGGGTGAAAATGCCTTGTTGATGCTAGAGGTCAGAAGAGAATGGGCCGACTGATTCAAGCTGATAGAAGAGAAACTTTGACTGAAATAACCACTCGTTACAACCGAGGTATGCAGCAAAGCATTTGTGAAGCCACAACATGCACAACCTTGAGGTGGATGGGCTGCAACAGCAGTAGACCCCACCGGGTACCACTCATCTCCACTACAAATAGGAAAAAGAGGCTACAATTTGCAAGAGCTCACCAAAATTGGGCAGTTGAAGACTGGAAAAATGTTGCTTGGTCTGATGAGTCTCGATTTCTGTTGAGTCAGAATTTGGTGTAAACAGAATGAAAACATGGATCCATCATGCCTTGTTACCACTGTGCAGGCTGGTGATGGTGGTGTAATGGTGTGGAGGATGTTTTCTTGGCACACTTTAAGCCCCTTGGTGCCAATTGGGCATCGTTTAAATGCCTGAGCATTGTTTCTGATCATGTCCATCCCTTTATGGCCACCATATAGACGAATCCGGCGAAACTACCGGAAGTAAGCGGGCGCCATTACTGAGCTGTTGCTGGGTAGCGTTGCGCCATTGCCTGTTTTAGTTGCAACTTGCGTCCACTGGAATAAACAGCCCGTGATTTACGACTGTCACTATAACGTTACAACGTTATCCCTTGTATAATGTCGAGTGGGTAAACAGTTTCCGTTATAAATTGTTTCAATGGTGGCAGTAAAATTTCAATTTTGAAGAGAAAACACTGTGAATACCCCGGGTCGACTGCCCCTGTCTGGTGCCGTACGGTTTACAGATTTCCTGGGCGAGTACAAGACGTGGACATTCGCGTATAATAACAATTATTTAATGACATAAGTAAAAAAATATAATAAATATGTGATATAGTGATCAGCAAAATCTCCTCTCTTGCTATTTTTTCTATTAAATTAACATGCTTTGGTCATTAAATGGCTTTCCTGAGCTGAATGTAACGTTATGTGACATAATTGTTCTCCCGCTGTTATATTGACCTCTTTCCATGGTTTAAAAACACTAATTGGTCGATATTATGTATACTTTCTAGCTGTAACATTACCTTACCCTTGCCTGTTGCAATGTGAAAATGAGATAAATAATGGACACAAATGAAAAACATGAATTTGTTTATTTGATTTCATTCATTTATTTATTGCTGCCAAATGGACAGATCTTTTTATAGTTTCCTCGTTAGCAAACGTTAGCCTAGCTAGCTTGCCAAGCTATTTTCATAAATAACGTTAATCTGTAAGATCGTTTGTACCTTCATCTGTGACTGGAGGCCACTGCAGTCACAGATCAAACCAACAAGTCATTCTGCCTGGCTGTAGCTGTCATCGAGGGTGAGTTCGCGTTATCACAGAGGTTTGTTTACATACCGGTGCATATGTCTATATGCCTGTGTAACAGCTCAGTAATGGCGTCGCCACAAGATGGCAGCCTACACAGAACGCTCGTCGGATTCGTCTATAGAGAGCCTAAGTCCCTCCCCTTCCAGTCGACCACCATGGGACCTTATTTCGGAAAAAAATATTTCTATGGTGGTCAATGGCGAGAGACAACAAATATTTTGATCTCGTTTGAATTGTGCCCTGAATTACACATATGATGTTTGTCAATTTAAAAGATACAATTTAAAGTAGTTTGATGTATACTGTTGAGGTATAAGACTGTGAAAACGGGGATTACAAACCCCAAAGGCGCACATTTTCTCTCAATGAATGAAGCTAACTTTACTTAGGCTAAAGTCTGTCATTGTTTCTATAGTCTTACATTATAATCGTAACGTTACGCCGTCATGCCTGAGTGTTTTGTACCAGACTGCACACACACGAGCAGCGGATCGCACTCGTTGTTTCGCTTCCTGGGAGATGTAGTTCATTGAGCGATTTTCACATAAAACTAAATGTTACTCTTCTGTCTTATGACAAACTGCGACGTTTTTGACTTTCAGAATTATCTTTTAAATTGACAAACATCATATGTGTAATTGAGGGCACAGTTCAGACGGAATAAAAAGATAAGTTGTCTCTCGCCATCGACTACCACACATATTTTTTCCGAAATAAGGTCCCATGAGCCGGAAGCGGAGGGGCGGGACTTGGGCTCTCTATACCCATCCTCTGATGGCTACTTCCAGCTGGATAATGCACCATGTCACAAAGCTCGAATCATTTCAAATTGGTTTCTTGAACAAAACAATGAGGGAAAAGGGGGTCAAACACAGTATTAGTATGGTGTTCCTAATAATCCTTTAGGTGAGTGTAGAACTCCTGCTTAAAACACAATAGCAACAAATAACAATTCTCTACACCCTAAACTCCCTGATATTGTGTTGTCAGGTTTTGAAGAGGCAAGCATCTCTCTTAATGTTAAATGAACATTTCTCTGTTTCTTCTGCAGCAGCGTCTCTGCTGCCTCACAGGTTTGTGACGGTACGCAGAGGCAGCCCGGCGGCTCGCAGTGGTCAGATCAGGCCTGGGGATCGTCTGGAAGCTGTGGATGGGAGATCAGTGGTGAATTTACCTCACAGAGAGCTGGCTCAGATCCTGAGGAGAGCTGGAAACACCCTCCGCTTGACCATCGTACCCCGCGCCAGCGCTCGTAAGTGGATTACTTCATACACATGTGCTGATCATGTTTTACTTCATTAAATAAATAGTGCCAGTAAGAAACTACTAAGCAGTGCCCTATATTTTTTATATATGTATATATAAGTATTTATATTTAATATACTGTATATCTAAAGCAATAAATAACATTGAAACAAAATAGTATCCTAATACCTTTCTCCCGTCAGATTCCTCAGAGCGAGCAGAGAATGACTCTGATTATAAGAACAGGAAAACTCACAGGTCAAAACCAAAGGTTAGCAATACCTTTACCTTACAATGCCTTTACTTAAGCTGTCTGGCTGAAAAATTACAAATAATAACTCCCTCCTTTTTCATTTTTTGTTCCTCTTTGAAACACAAAGCAGGATGCCACACGGTACTACAGTGTGGAACTGGAGAGGGGGTCCACTGGATTCGGCTTTAGTCTGAGAGGAGGAAGTGAATACAACATGGGACTCTATGTGCTGGGACTGATGGAGGGAGGACCGGCCTCGCGCAGCCACAAAATACAGGTGCAGATGGGTGGCTTTGATCTATAGATAAAATAATTACTTTTGGGGATAATTTTGGGCAAAAATGCCTGAAAAAGTGTAAAGAGACTAAATAATGACAATGGTTTCATTCTAAGTATTATTTTGGGGTTAGTATTAGTCTGTAGTAATTATAGTTACCTTAAGAACAATGGAAGTCAAGAGGACATCCTTATTTAGATGTACGTGAAAAGATGTGTGTGTGGTAGAGGCTGCAAAATGTTGCTTTTGGAGGAGAGCATGTGATACAGTATACATTGTCAGCCATTTTAAAAAACACTACTATTTTATAATACCCTACCATTTAAATTAAAAGATTGGGGGTAAGAGGTTTTTTTTTTTTTTTAAAGAAGACTC